GAAATTTCCCCCCTTTTTTTAAACACAGTCGACACACTGGATTAGTCAGGCCCGTATGCGGAATGCTTGAAAGGGGGTTTCTAGTTTGTGAGATCAAAAGTCAAACATATTGTGCAAAGCACAGTCAGCATGCAATGCTAATGCTGTGGAGTTTTGAGGGCATGCGACTGTTTCTACCCTAAAAATGATAATACTTCATCAGAAGAATGTAGACTATGTAGAAAACGTTAAATACAATAAGTAGCTGCGCTATAACTATATAATTTTATTACAATCACAAAAATAGGGGGTTCGGCCGAACCCCTCTACGTACATGAGTGCCAGTCTATTCCTTCAGGTTCAGACTGATCTAGAAAGTAATTCACTGAATGTGTTTTGCTTTATTTGATACAAAGTGCATTAAATTTTTTTCTGTAATTTGGGCTAATCTATCCGTATTTAAACTGATTTCTAACCAACGCGGTTTCATGATTAATCTTCATTAACAGCTATCAGAAAGCTGCCTTTATTCAACTTTAATTGCGTACACTCTAGTTACTGGTTATCATCATTCTTGCTGGATGATAGTGACGTAGTCAGATACACATACAATAGGGATCCGATTTCAAGCGCTTATAAGGTAAGATAACAGTTTTAATACCAAAGCTATTCATGCGTTTTACCAGTCTCCTGTGTTCGCATTGTTTCTTAATCATGTAACTTACATAGGAATGTAGATAGTTTAATTGCTTTAAAGATTAAAACAGAACGTAAGTTAAATATTTATAATCCCGGCCGGGATCCCAGGGCTTGAGCCACCAAAATACTGAAATCCCAAAATTCGGAAAAAAACTTCCAGTTTGCATTTCTTACTTACGATTAGTTGATTAATGCGTTGAAAGTCAAGATTTTTTTTTAGTACAATATATTTATTTTATTAAACTTCCCTAACGTGAAGCAAATTGCGGGTCTTTATTACGTGCTGAGCGTTCTAGAAAATTAATTACGATTCACTACATCAAGCTGAAAAAGTGTGAAACGTCATGCATATTAACAGTAAAATTAGGTTCAGACAATCATTGTCACGATGAATTTATATTGAAATGTAATTTTCGTAACTTGTTTTTGATTTATTGACTGTATGACCTCGTAGCCTTCAGCACGTTCAAGAAAAGTGTTTTGTAACTTTAAATAACTTTTTGTTGTTGTTTCCTTATGTAAGCTGATGATAATCCTCAGCTGGTCACGGTATTTTAGTTCTGTTACCGTATGCGAGCTGATACTCCTCAGCTGGTCACGGTATTTTATTTCTGTTACCTTATGCGAGCTGATACTCCTCAGCTGGTCACGGTATTTATTTCTGTTACCTTATGCGAGCTGATAGTCCTCAGCTGGTCACGATATTTAATTTCTGTTACCGTATGCGAGCTGATAGTCCTCAGCTGGTCACGGTATTTTATTTCTGTTACCTTATTCGAGCTGATACTCCTCAGCTGGTCACGGTATTTTATTTCTGTTACCTTATTCGAGCTGATACTCCTCAGCTGGTCACGGTATCTTATTTCTGTTACCTTATTCGAGCTGATAGTCCTCAGCTGGTCTTGTTCTGTTTTTTATATGAGGTTTGTTGGTTGACGTGGGCAGATATGTAGCTTTTAATTCCTCTAAATTTGTATTCTCAATTGATGCTAACCTATAATCTTCTGGCCACTTTATTTTTAACTGAAAGAGGCTGTTCAAATCCATATTTGTGAAGAAACTGAATACGCTAGCAGGACAGTTCTAAATGCAGTTACGAAAGACAGAAGTCAATAAAGTGTGAGTTTGAACATAAAAGTAAAATATATGAGCTTTATTGTGGGTACTGAGTGTTTGCTAGTTTAACTTAACTGAAATATTTATAACATAAATAGCAGTCGGCCGTAAAATTTTAATACAACAAGTTTTAATAAATGGTTTTAATTTTCAGAGGGCGGGGTAACTTTATTTTATGAAGTGACAAAATGTACTATGCAATATGAATATATTTTCTTTATTGAAAGCTGTTACAAGTTACACGAACCTTTGAGCTGTATCCCTACCTGATTTGGTCAACTATGCAGACAGCGGTCATTGACCCTTACTATAGCGCATTCTCTATGTCGGGTCTTTGCTTGTAAAGCAGTGGTACATCATTATTTCAAGATTTTTCGTTGGGCTCGAGAGTTCCGCTGGAGTTATCTATGTGACCTTGAGCAGTGTCGTTTGCCTTGCCTATTAATTTATTGTTCACTGGTGTAGTCTTATCCTACACCTAATACCGTACGTGTATTATCGTTCAATCAGTGCTCTTCTGATAGACACGTTTCTTTATATTTAAAGTTAATAATAACAATATTAAAAAAAGGAACATCGTTTAATCGAAGCCTAATTTAAACTGAATCACTTCGAGCGTTTCGTAGAATGGTGCTGAAAACTCCACGTCGTATATGTACGTGCACCTGTATGATTAATTTGGCTATGTACTACACCTCAACACCTATATAACTATTACATAGCCTCACTTGCACTAAACTTGCACTTGTAGACAACTAAAACTAAATGCATAGTTAAACGGATGGAATCGAGTAAAATATACACTAGTATAAAAGATTTAATCTGAACAAAAACCGAAAAATACATCTTATAATAAGATTTAGGCAGAATCTTTGTGTGAAAAGTAAAATAATATTTGAAATGATGTCCAGCATTAAGATGTCTGTAAGAAATTCCTAATTATTTGTATACGATATTAGCGTGAGTTTGCTTTCAAAAATGAAAGAAAAATGTTGTGTAAAAAAGGAGGGCTTAATCATAGTAATTCTGAGTTTGTAAGTAAAAGAGCAGCTAATTATTCATTAAATTCTGATATTTCGGAACTAAAATTTACCCAGGTAATTAAAATATCTAATTTAATATATACCGGTCTATCAAGGAGTATGCTTTGTTTGTTGTTAAGCGCAAAACTATACAAGGGCATTCTATGCTGTGCCGACTATTGGTACTTAAAGCCGGGTTATAGCACTATAAGCCTACAAACTTACAGCCGAGCTACTGGGAGGGGGGGGGGGCGAAAGTATGCAGTTTTATAATACATAAACTTATAATGATTAGCCTAAAATATCTATGCAGGATTAAAAACAAACCCCTTCCCACTCATGATACATCCCTGAACAAAAACTCGTTAAGACATTTTCTCGGGGAACCTGAGCATGTTTGCCTAGTTTTGCCTCTCTGGCTTGTGAGTT